GAGCTTTAGTTACCTAACTAAAATGAGGACATAGGTTGATAAAGATGATGTGAGGGTGTTTCTAGCTAAGAGAATACTAGAACATAGCAATTTTTAAGACCAGTTTGGATTGATGCTTCTTTATGGATTTATGCTGCTTTCTCACAGAGATCAGTTACAAATGGAAACATACATAAAACTTTGAGAGAGAGCAGGCACCTTTGCAAGTGAGCAGTGGGAGGGACAGAGGGTGGGGGAGAGAATCTCAGGCTAACTCCATGCTGATCACAGAGCCCGAGATGGGGCTCAGTCTGACAACTCTGAGATCATGACCTGTGCTAAAATGAAGAGCCAGGATGCTTAATCGAATGAGCCACCCAGGTGCCCCCTAAGACTTAAAGGTAATAAATTTCTCAAGGTGTTCTTGGCCTGGAGCTGGCATACTTGGCACTTGAAAAACAGCACAAAGTAAACAGGCTGTTCTGAACAAGCCCTTCATGGGATCTATAATCCATTATTAGACTTAGTGGTGGTTGTTTCTTGTATTATTTGTGTTTGGAGAACTTTTCAAAAGGTGGATTTCTAGACCCAACCCCAAATGCATTGAACCAGATTCTTGAAGAGCAGGCCCTGAGATTGTATGGTTTATAAACAGCTCCCAGATGATTTTTTTCTTTTAACTCTCAAATATTTAATTGCCTCCCAGTTAAGTTGACAAAATTGCTGTTTGTCAGATGGAAGAAAAGTTGAGAAAAGCTTGAGGTCAGTTTTTTTTAAGGGCTTCCCAGGTCATTTGTTCTGCTAGCATTTCACATCTAAGTCATTCCTAAATATTTGGCCAACAGTTAAATGTGTATCCATATAATTTCTGTACAGCAAAGAAATTATTTAATATATTTCATATATTTAAAATAAAATAGACCTTTGGGGCAGGGGCTCCTGGCTGGCTCAATCAGTAGAGTGTGCAACTCTTGTTAGAGTTGTGAGTTCGATTCCCATGTTGGGCATAGACATTGCTTAAAAATAAAATCTTAAAAAACCTTTTAGGGGCACCTGGGCGGCTCAGTTGGTTGAGCGACTGCCTTTAGCCCAGGTCATGATCCTGGAGTCCCGGGATTGAGTCCTGCATCAGGCTCCCTGCTCTGCAGAGGGTCTGCTTCTTCCTCTGACCCCTCTCCCCTCTCATGCTCTCTCACTCTCTCTCTCTCAAGTAAGTAAATAAAATCTTTAAAAAACAAAAAAAACGTTAGGGGGAAAGTAGCTGTTTTTTTCATAATGCCAGTGGAAGTACAATTTTTAATGCATATACGTAGTAATTGGTACTACCTTAAACTAATAGCTAATATGTTGTCTGTGTTACCCAGGAAGGAAATTTAACCTTGGTATTTATTGCCTTAAAGATACATTCTACCTATTTTAAATCATTTGAGCTTCCAGTGAAACACAGCAAAATAAATGCCAAGATACTTATTTTAAGTCTGCTTATAGTTTATCCTCAGTTTGAATATTAGATTGGCTTTAAATGTAGGTATATGAGGGGCGCCTGGGTGGCTCAGTGGGTTAAGCCGCTGCCTTCGGCTCGGGTCATGATCTCAGGGTCCTGGGATCAAGTCCCGCATCGGGCTCTCTGCTCGGCAGGGAGCCTGCTTCCCTCTCTCTCTCTCTCTGCTTGCCTCTCTGTCTACTTGTGATCTCTCTCTGTCAAATAAATAAAATCTTTAAAAAAAAAAAATAGGTATATGAGAGTACATGCTAGGGCTTACATAACAGGATTCAACTTTCAATATAAAATGAAATGTTCTGGGCACCTGGGTGGATCAGTCATTTAAGCATCTACCTTCAGCTCAGGTCATGATCCCAGGGTCTTGGGATTGAGCCCCATGTTGGGCTTCCTGCTCAGCGGGGAGTCTGCTTCTTCCTCTACCTCTGCCCCTTCCCCCCTCCAAGTGTACTCTCTCTTTCTCAAAATTTTTTTTTAATGAAATGGTTTTTTGGTTTTGTTTGTTTGTTTGTTTTTAGTTTGTCAGAGAGAGCAAGATCACACACAAGCAGGGGGAGATGGAGGGAGAGGGAGAAGAAGGCTCCCACTGAGCAGAGAGTCTGACAGGGCTTGATCCCAGGACCCTTGGGATCATGACCTAAGCTGAAGGCAGACACTTAACCGACCGAGCCACCCAGGCACCCCAAATGTTCTGCTTTTAAAATGCTGGTATGTGATCAGTTGTTGGAGTGCAAAAGTGTCTTAGTACTTAAAGATCACTGGGACCTCTGTGGCATATTAGAAATTTTTGGCACCTGTGACAATAAGAAACATTTTCAAGTAAATTTTCCATTTGAGGTCATAGGTTCATCGTTGAATCTTGTATTCTTTTCATGTTCAAGATCATGTGTGATCAAGTTAATTATGACATCCAGAAATAATACAGTAAAAAATTTTAAATGGTTTCAAATTTTCATCTTGATGGGGCATTTTAGCTGTTGTAGGTCTCTGAAGTTTCATACAGGTTGATTGTAGTAGGAGTAGAATTAAAGTGAAAGGTTCTCGTTTATTCAGTTGGGGAGTATTGCTATTCATTGCATAAGCATTTTCAGCAGGAATTTCACCTTAACCTAATGTGTCCCTGCAGTGAAATGCAAGGATGAATTTTGCCTCTTGAGATTATACACTCACAGTCTGTTTCTGGGCTGTTTTGTGACCACATTTCCTAGTTAGGTTACAGGGCTATTTAATGAACTGGAGCTCAAAAAGCAAATCATACTCTTCCTACACTTCAAAGCTCTGAATTGCACAAAAATCAGAGCTAAATAGAGGGCTTACCAAAGGACTCTACTTGGACAGCATGGCTATTTTGCCAGTTTATATATAACCAGTGACCATTAAAATTCAGTGTGTAATCATGGAAAATGAACATTTGACTTAAAAATACTATATGTAGAGGTGCATGGGTGGCTCAGTCATTTAAGCATCTGACTCTTGATTTTGGCTGAGGTCGTAATCTCAGGGCTCCGTGCTGGGCACAGAGCCTAGCTTAAGATTCTCCCTCTGCCTCTCCCACCACCCCCCAACTCCCTCTTTAAAAAAAAAACTATATGCAGTTCGAGGAGAGACTGTACCTGTTCTAATTTTTAGCTCTCCCTAGTATCAAACTTGGAAAACTACCATAGTTACCTTTCAGAAAGTCAGGGAAAGTTGTTGTACACTTATTTTAATGTCCAGTTGCTTTGGTACTGATATGTATGTGTTCAGTATTATTTGGATGTCTACAGTGTGCTAGACACTGTTCTCAAGACCATGTAACATTGGCTTTATCTGTCCCTGCGTCTGCACTGTGGCATTTACTGTCTGAACTAGAGATGTGGACCCTTTAAGAGCTGTTAAAGAACCACTTTGGCCCAGGGAAGAAGACTTATTTGACTTAAAGATCCTCTTGAGGTGATGCAGGAGGTTTATTCATTTATTTGATAAATCAAATTTCGAAAGGTACAAAGTGAGAAGTCTCCCTCTACTCTATACCCAGTTACAGCATTAAGATTTTGTAATACTTTCCCAAAGGTATTTCCTTATATGAATGATAGTCGGTATAAGTGATGCTTCACACTTGTGTTTTTCCCCTTCGTATACAGTGTATCTTAGAGGAAATTTTCACTTTGGTATGAATGGAGTTGTTTTATCTTTCTATAGTTAATAAAAAAAAAAAAATTGCTGTGACTAAACTATTCTGCTGAGCCTATCTGAAGAACAAATTCCTTGTAGTGGATTATATGGGGTAAAAAGATTGTGCTTGTAGTTTTTGATATATATTGTCAAACTGCCCTCCAGAGATTTTGTAACACTTTTTTCTTAGTGCTCAGCAGCCACATATACGGGTGGTCACAAAGTCTGGAAGCTGAGTTGAATTATAAACACTGAATGAACTGTTACTTTTACATAGAACATGTAATACATTACATGCAATTGATTTGTCCTTACTAACTGCACTAGCACAGAATTTCATTGATCTCTGCTCAGGCACTTGCCTCTAAGTGATTTAGAACTCTGAATTTTTTTTTCTCCTATTTACACCAAAATTTCCAGATTTTGTAGCCCCCCTATAATAAGAATCCCTATTTCTTGTTTTCTTCTTCTTTTTAAGATTTTATTTGTCTATTTGACAGAGCGAGAGAGGGAACATAAGCAGGGGAAGAGGGAGAAGCAGGCATCCTGCTGAGCAGGGAGCCTGATGAGGTCTTGATCCCAGTACCCTGGGATCATAACCCGAGCCGAAGGCAGACAGATGCTTAACAACTGAGCTACCGGGCACCCCAAGAATCCCCCATTTCTTTTTTTCTTTCTTTTTTAAGATTTTTAAAATTTATTTATTTGACAGAGAGAGATAGCGAGAGAGGGAACACAAGCAGGGGGAGTGGGAGAGGGAGAACCAGGCTTCCCACTGAGCAGGGAGCCCGATAAAGAGCTCAATCCCAGGATGCTGGAACCATGACCTGAGCTAAAGGCAGACACCTAACAACTGAGCCACTCAGGCACTCTAAGAATCCCTATTTCTATACATCTTTGTAAACTTGGCACATTTTCTCAACTAATTTGTCAGTTTGTTTTAAATTGATGTCTTTGTAATTTTATTTCTCATTCCTGTTATGAGTGAGATTTATTGAGCATCTTCTAGCCGTTTGTTACCTACTCAGGATATTTCATCTCTTTGATGGGATATACCATGGCATATACAACTTGATCCCCTCACCATGCCATGTGTGTGTGAGAGTGTGTAAATAATGTGTCGTTAGAGGTTTCCCCAAACATTCTCTTCCTTCCTGTGTAATTCAAATCCAGTATTTATCTGCCAAGTGTTTTTATAACCCTAAGAAGCAGTTGATTATCTTGCTTAATTTAATTTGAATGTATTTGTGCTATGTACAGACTATGTATTTTCTTTAAGATGTGTTTTATTTGGAAACAGATTGATCTTCATCTATGAAAGATGAAATGCAAAATTGCTTATTTTAGCTTTTTTCTCCCCAATTAGTTGGTGACAAAGTTCCTGCTGATATAAGATTAACTTCCATCAAATCTACTACTCTAAGAGTTGACCAGTCTATTCTCACAGGTAAGCATTATACATTGGAAGGTCGCTGAATGTTGGAGTCCGGCTCAGACCCCAGGCTGAGTGGGTTGGCTCCTGCCCCTCCTGTTCCTTTTTAGGGTTTCACCTTAATTCTCTCCAAGATACTTATTTCTTAATGCTTTAGAAATCAGGCTTGTTTGCCATTGTATCGGGTTTAAAGGTATTTAAAAAGAAACTTGGCTTTCATCTCATAAGACCTTTAATTTGTCTTTAATTTTATCAAAAATTAGCTTTCACCAAAAATCTTTTGTTTTTACTTCCTAAAAAAAAGAAGTTACAAATTCCTACATTAGCAGAGGTAATAATCTTAAGGTTGAAGTGTTGTCTGTCTGTCTTATGGAAAATGAATTAATTACTTATTGTCCTTTTCCCAGGCAGGAGAGAAAGTTTCTGGAGCTATAATTTTTTTCATTGTAGGAATACTAATCTTACATCTAACCTATTTGCAATGATCAAATGTACAATTAACAGAAGTTAGCAATCCCCCCAACCCCAGTGGTGAATGTTTTACTGCCTAAAGTTTGCATGCTTAGATTTGAGATTGTTTGGAACATTTTTCCATTTTTGTTTGATAAAGGCACAGTGTAGGGTGGAGGGTTCTAATTAGCTGGAAGTAAGATGGTCAGAAGATTAACTTAAACACAATGCTAACCTGAACTAAATAGAGTAATTAGAAAATCCAAAGGTAATCAAGATTTATCTGATTATCAGTTTTGAAAAGCAGCTGAGGTCCTAAGAGGTAGTACTGTGAGTAACGTGGGCTCTTTTATTGTTTCTCTATGAATAGCTTAGTTACTAAACCTCCCGTTAGCAGCAACAAGCTGAAAGCTGATTTGAGCCATAAAATGTTGGGAAACTGATTAGGTGGTGCATATATTTTCATTGTATGCCTACAGAAATAATTACATTTTAAAACCTCTCATAAAATTTCTTCAGTGTTTTTTGTTTTGTTTTTGCTAAATAATCATACTGTGGTTTCAGGCTAGATTGAAGAAGCAGGTTTGTTGGGATATCAAGAGTTGAGGTTGGCTACCTGAAATTTAAATGAACAACTGGAGCCATATTTCTCGTTACTCAGACCTGTCCCAGTTACACATTCCATAAATGATGTTAAGGTTGAAACGAAATTCAACAAGACATTGTAAAAGTTCTCAGTAGCAGCCCTTTATATACTGTGTGATGTTTTTGTGCTGATTGTTTTTCACTTTTGTTTTATTGAAATAGAATGGTCTGATCACTCATGCTAGTGCCAGTATTTCTGAAACCGTGTTTTCATTTCTCATGTCTGGCATTGATGAACAAAAATGGGCTTCCCAGTAGATGCTCCTTATTCTACGTATAATGTATCTAGTGTGTTCACAAGATCATTGTGTTAAGAATATTTTGACCTTTTTATGAAGTATTAGTGTATATATGTAAGTTTATAACAAATAAGTATAAATATATGTTCACAATATTAGAGTATGAAGTTGATTCCTGAAAATAAACTCGATTTGAGTAGTTACTTCAGGAAATACAGGCAGTTGACTGGGATTCTGTTTCTAAATATCACTAGTCTTCCTCTTTTGAGCGAATTGGGTCTCTCACCTCCTTTCCTGAGTTTGGAGTAGCGTGAGTGGGGCGCTCAGGGTCTGGGTGTGCGTCACACGGACCTGACCACGCTTCCTGCACCCCCCGCAGGCGAGTCTGTGTCGGTCATCAAGCACACGGACCCCGTCCCGGACCCGCGGGCCGTCAACCAAGATAAGAAGAACATGCTCTTTTCTGTGAGTAATTCGTCACACGCTGTCACTTGGGGACATTCCAGAATGTAAGATCTGCAAGGTTTTAAGTTGGTTTATTCTTAAGTAAACTCTCCACCCAGCGTGGGGCTGAACGCAAGACCCCAAGATCAAGAGTCACATGCTCCCCTGACTGAGCCAGCCAGGCTCCCCAGGGTCAGCTGTTCTAATTGGCAAGTTTTCGAGGGGCCGTCGAGAGATCAGTCACACATCTTTAGATTCTTATCTATAACCCAGAAAAGTAGGTGTTCGTGGGCAAGGCTTATCAGCCTATGAAAGATATTTTTTGAATGATGTGGGTGGTAGCTGTATGTAGTTTACAATGAAAAGGTGTGAGTTTAGAGAGAGCAAATGTGGCAAACCATTTAATAATTGGGGAGTATGGATGAAAATTAACAGGGATATTTATTGTACGATTTCAGGTTTTCTGTTAAATTTTTTTGAAATAAAAGGTTGAGAAATTTGTATATTTTGCTTGTTTGGTTTTTTAAATGCTGTTTCAAGTGGTAGGTTTTTGTGGGTGAGCATGGGAGCCTAATCACTTATAGTAAGGAAAGTGCTGTAGAATTACAGTGGAAACAATGCAGTTGTATCATGCCAGCACTGGGAGTTAAAATAGGCGGGGGGGTGGGGGAGTGCTGTACTTGATGTCATTGATTTTTTTTTTTTAATGCCAGTGCTTGAGTGGAGATCCTCAAGGTAACTTATGGGGCTGGGTGCCCTACTTATTGTAGGTAATAAAAGTAGGGGAGGTTGGGCTTTTGGAGCCAGCAGTGGAGAGTGCTTAGGGTTGAGGGCTGTAGGGAGTTCAAAAAATGGAACGCAGAGGGGTTAGAGCCCGAGCTGGTCTGCAAGCCAGGTTCAGTATGGTGAATAGAGATTCTGGGGGGGGGGGGGGGGGGGTTGGAGCTGCTCCGGGCGAGTGGGGAGCCACATGAAATGAGAATAAAGAAGAGCTGTACCATGCTGCCTGGATTGTCAAGGTTGGATGGCTGGCTCTCTGAAGAGCAGCCTCTAGAAGGCCCAATAGAATATGAGAGTCTGTGTGCTCTAATCAAAACCCACATGAGTCTGAGTTTGCTAGTCAGTGTTTAAATTGGGTGCGGTGTTAATCTTATAACTGGTTTCCTCTACTTCTGACGTAGGGTACAAACATTGCTGCTGGCAAAGCCATGGGAGTGGTGGTGGCAACTGGAGTGAACACAGAAATTGGCAAGATCCGGGATGAAATGGTGGCAACAGAGCAGGAGAGAACCCCACTCCAGCAGAAACTAGATGAATTTGGGGAACAGCTTTCCAAAGTCATCTCCCTGATTTGCATTGCTGTCTGGATCATAAACATTGGGCACTTCAACGACCCAGTTCATGGAGGCTCCTGGATCAGGGGTGCTATTTACTACTTCAAAATTGCGGTGGCTCTGGCTGTGGCAGCCATTCCTGAAGGTCTGCCCGCGGTCATCACCACCTGCCTGGCTCTTGGAACTCGCAGAATGGCAAAGAAAAATGCCATTGTTCGAAGCCTCCCTTCTGTAGAAACCCTTGGTTGTACTTCTGTTATCTGCTCGGACAAGACTGGTACGCTGACAACGAACCAGATGTCTGTGTGCAGGGTAAGTGGGAGTGATTTAAGACTCTTTGCTGGTGGTGAGTTTTGGTACATCCTAGGAATATGCCCTCATGCCATCAAAACCTTGGATGTGTAATATACTTTTTTTTTTTTTTTAAGATTTTGTTTATTTATTTGACAGAGAAAGAGATCACAAGGAGGCAGAGAGGCAGGCAGAGGGGGAGGGGGAAGCAGGCTCCCCACTGAGCAGAGAGCCTGATTCGGGGCTCGATCCCAGGACCCTGAGACCATGACCGGATCCGAAGGCAGAGGCTTAACCCACTGAGCCACTCAGGTGCCCCAATATGATACCTTTTTAAGTGCTTTAAACAAACAGGTTGTGTGTATAGCCAGAGCCCAAGGTAATCTGATGCCCCAGAGGAATTAGTCCTCTAATTCCTAAAATTGATTCATGAAATAAAGGGTATCTGCATGGTTGATGTGCTTATATTGGGGACGGTGACCATAGACAGTCTGTAAATGTGTTAGGTGACTATGTTCCTTTTGTATTCCTGCTCCTCTGTCTCTGAGGGCATGTATGTTACTGGACCAACCTTAAAGGAAGAGAATTTTATAAAGCAGCCAGTTCCCTCCATACCTGCCTAGCTAAACTTCTGACTGGTATTTCCATAAAACATTGAATGAGACATGCTTTCTTGAAAGGTGAATAATGGCCTTTAACTTACTTTGTTATATGTGTTCATCCTTCCCTTCTTAGGTTATTTTGACCATCACTAGGGGGATAAAATAAGAAACTATTTAAACCTGCCCTTAGAAAAGTAGTAACTTCAGAAACACTGATACCCCTGAATTACGTTCTTTACCTAGGTTTTATTTAAACAATTTTGTACAAGTCTTTTTTCAAAGTATAATTTTCCAGAAGGTACACTACTCATAAAAATACTGAGTAGAAAAAATATATATACTGAGTGGATACCAAAGATTATCTTAAATAATGAGGGAATCAGCAAAACTGGTTACAAGAGCATTTGAGGAAGTACTCAATAACAGCATAGAATTGCTATGAGTTAGGTTGCAAAGCCTGGTTAATATCCAATAGGGCAGTAAAACTACAGCTTATCTTTCCTACAGGCCACACAAATCCACAACTTCATGTAACATGAGCTCTTAATAATAAATAGCACAGTGGAACAATGTTAATATTTTTCTAGAATACTACATCTTTGAGCCTGTTAAAGAATGCTTCTGAATGACATCATAGGGACATGTGGACATCTTCTTGACCTTAATAACTCCAGGTTTTGGATAATACATTTTCCCATTAGAAATTGTTTGTTTATTTATTTATTTATTTATTTATTTAGACCTCAGAGTTGCAGACTTCTTAAAAATTCTTTTAAAGACATTTATTTATTTGACAGATCACAAGTAGGCAGAGAGGCGGGGTGGGGGGAGTAGGCTCCCTGCTGAGCAGAGAGCCTGATGCAGGGCTTGATCCCAGGACCTTGAGATTATGATCTGAGCTGAAGGCAGAGGCTTAACCCACTGAGCCACCCAGGTGCCCCAGAAATTGTTTTTAATACAGTTAAACCCTCTGAGTCTTTATCTTGCCCAATTTAAACTCGTGATGATTTTTAGATACACAGTCCTCATTGGTATTCGTTCCATCTCTGCCTCCCTCTGGCCATTCTTTGTAGTCCACGTCCCAACTTAGAATGAACAGATAGGTGTTCTGTCTCTTAAGTGGTAAAGCTGCTAGTCTGTCCTGGGTTTCACCAGAAGTGCAGGGTTTGACTCAGCTGCCTAAGTTTTCATTCCTTGGAAACAGAAGAGGTTGCATAAATTAGCTAATAACTAGTTGGCAACTAATTTCAAACTGTGGCAGCAAATGAGATTTCATACTAAGAATAAAAGAGAGTCCATAGTAAAAATGTTTTGTTTTTATATTTTCCCTTAACTGGTTTAAGATATTTTCTTCTATTAAAGAAACAGCCTAGCCTGCCTCTTTGTTCTCGTCTCCCTCTATGACAGAAAGCTGATGCTAATCAGTATTCTCCAGGAGGTTTCTTGCAGTGGGTTGCATAACTGCCCTTGACTTAAGGATACTTTCATCATCCAGTTCCTAAATGGTTTACTTGCTCGCAGTCTAAAATGCCCATGTGCGTTCAGATTTACTTAATGCGGATTAGAATTCTGATTATCTTAAAGTATTTTGGGCATTGGTATAAACCCAAAGACTTTCACTTTTTATAAACCATACATTAAGTGCTAACTTGCTTTGATATTGCTTAGTACAGTTAATTTGCTTTCCTCACATGTGACTTTGAATCATATGGTAATCATGCTCAAGAGGTTTAAAAAATTAAGGCCCTGAGAAGTTAGTAACAAATCCAAGGGTAACACAACTTCTAATAAAAGGTAAAGTTGGATTTTCTTATAGGAGAGATTGGTAGTTAAACCCAGTCCTCTTTCTTCCACTTAATAATTATATAACCTTGAGCACATGTTTTAACCTCTCCGGTCCTTTGTTCCTCTTCTGTAAAATGTCAGGCATCTTTGGTAGGAACCATTTGACAAGCTTCCTTTTTTAGGTGCTGTATCTGTTAGAAAAAAATGTAGGTGTCACTGATCTGGCTGCATGTGACCTTAGACATGAATCTTTTCCTCACTTGACACTGGTTGTATATGTTTGAACTAGAACCTTTTTTTTATCAGGAGTCACTTTTAAATCCCATTATATACTTTCTTTTTTAAGACATTTTCTGTGTCTTGCTCATGGCATTAGTTCCGTTCCAAGGCTGATTTGTATCTAAGTATACTTTTGAAATTAAGCTTTTTGGGCGACTGGCTGGCTCAGTCAGCGTGCAACACTTCAGTCTCAGGGACTGTGAGTTCAGGCCCGGGGTATGGTGCAGAGTTTACCTTTTTTTTTTTTTTTTTTTTTTTTAAGGTTGTATTTACTTATTAGAAAGAGAGCGAGAGCACAAGCGGGAAGAAGAGGGAGAAGCGGGATCCCCGAGAATAAGAGCTTAACATGGGCTCAACCCTGGGATCACAACCTGAGCCGAAGGCATATGCTTCACCAACCGAGCCACCCAGGCGCCCCACAGAGATTACTTTAAAAAGAAAAGAAAAAAAGCCTTTGGGGTTCCTGGGTGGCTTCAGTTGGGTAAGCACCCGACTCTTGGTTTGAGCTCAGATGGTGATCTCAGGATCGTGAGATCTGAACTCCACACCGGGCTCCGCGTCTGCCTCCTGCCTCTTAAAAACAACAACAAAATGAAGCTTTTGGAATTTCAAAGTTAATACTGTATAACAAGCAAATCTTGAGGCCAAAAAAAAAATTTACTGAGTAGGAGTTGGGATGCTCTGAAAAGATGTTTTAAATTTTTAAGGCATTACCTGGCTCTCATAACTTGAGTTTAATATTTAAATTTATTTTAGAACAGTTTGATCATATTTTTTTTTTTTTTTTTTTTTTTTTTTTTATTTGACAGAGACTGCGAGAGAGGGAACACAAGCAGGGGGAGTAGGAGAGGGAGAAGCAAGCTTCCCGCTGAGCAGGGAGCCCAACTCGGGGCTTGATCCCAGGACTCTGGGATCATGACTTGAACCAAAGGCAGATGCTAACAACTGAGCCACCCAGCCGCCCCCAGTTTGATCATATTCTTAATTGTTCGTGTTTCAGAGGGATTTTGGTGTGGCAGAAGTATAGTTGAAATAGCACTTTGTGTTTTTGTGTTCTATGATAAGAGTTTATAGTTTCAATTTGCATGAAAACATATCTAAATCTGAGTTTTCTAAACTGGGCTTCTGAATTAGGATTGAAAAGCAAACCAAGGGGGAAAGAAACCTCTTATCTTTAAGAAACTAGCTCATGGGACGTCTGGGTGGCACAGTCGTTAAGCATTTGCCTTGGGCTCAGGTCATCCAAGGTCCTGAGATCGAGCCCCACTTCAGGCTCTATGCTTGGCAGGAAGCCTGTTTCTCCCTCTCCCACTGCCCCTGCTTTTGTTCCCTCTTTCTCACACACACACACACACACACACACACACTCACACCCCCACACACAGACTCTTTCTCTCAAATAATTAAAAATCTTTTAAAAAAAGAAACTAGCTCATGTCACTTTATTGTATAAAATGGAGACTCTTTTCCTAAATGTGCGTGTGTGTGCTGTCTTGGTAACATGAGTTCATTCAGCTCTGCAGCCTCCATACTGTACACAGGGGGTTATGGAGCTTTGTAGAAAATGAGCTATTGCCACAATAAAAATAAGTGGGGAGGAGGAGAGAAATAATTTGTCTTATTTTACTCAGGGAATGTTTATGCAGCTCAGAAATGTGAGTTTATTCTTCTCAGGCTTTTACTATTAGCTCTGGGGCAGAACTACCTAATTTTTTTTCTCAGCCAGCCATTTGGAATTTGGAATTCTGAGCCCTCTGGAGCGCTGCTGTGTTTGTGGAGTGGACTGAGAGTCCTCATAACTCCCGTGCCGTGAGGGTTGTCTTCTGTAACTTTGTTGCCCCTGCTGCTGCTTATTTAAACATTTGTGCCTTTTTTCTGTAGATGTTCATTCTGGACAAAGTTGAAGGTGATAGCTGTTCCCTTAATGAGTTTACCATTACTGGATCAACTTACGCACCTATTGGAGAAGTGTGAGTAAACCTGCTTTCTCATCTAAAGGACCCATTGTGGCAGTTTGGGACTTGGAGAGATTTGCAGTATATCTAAAAAGCTTTCTGAATGTGGCTCATCTTAGTTATAGGAGTCATGATTTTTTTTAATATAATGCATACTTTGAAAGAGAAAACACAGATCATTGTGTCAGACTTTTTTTCATCTTTATTTGGCTCCTTGGAGCCCAATTTTTTGAGTGGGGTTTCTCTTTGTTCTGTATTGATACCTGTGGTGGAAGAATTTCATTAACTGAGAACTTCTGGTCTTTACTGATTGGTTCTTGATGTCAATCAAAGATGCATTCTTTTATCTCCAGCATCAGACTTCTAAGAGCCGTTACTCAGATTCTTTAGAATACTCGCCAGGCTCTTGTCCACAAAATTGTATAATTAAGTAAAAATCAATAGAGATGACCACACTGCGCTCTAAAAGTATTTTCTTTTGATAGGCATAAAGACGATAAGCCGGTTAAGTGTCATCAGTATGACGGTCTCGTGGAACTGGCCACAATTTGCGCTCTTTGTAACGATTCCGCCTTGGATTACAATGAGGTAAGGCGTCTCATAAATGAGAAAGTAGACCTGGCTGTTCTGGTTCAAGGGTGGGGTGGGTGGAATGAAAATCCAGCCTTCCTTCCTCCCTTTGGAAAGTAAGGGCTCCTGATTTTATTTCCTCTTTCCATTTTACCCGAATCGGCGTGACCTAGCCAAAGAAAGCGGAAAGCCTTTCCTATGTCCCGACTGAGCATTGCATTCGCTTCGCTAAGAGTCACAGTGTACGTGGCGCGCTCTTCTGCTGTGGCGCAGCTGCTATACATGAGGAAAACCTCGAACGAACAGGGCATGTTTTCACAGTATAGGGTATTGATTTTTTTTTTCTTTTTTTTTCTTAAGATGGGGACTGTTACATCCTTGACAAGCTCAGGGTTAGAGGGCTATTTTGATGGTGATGATGATGATACAAAATTTAACCAACAAGAATCCTTTTTTCTCTTTTTACTTATATAGTAATCCGCTGGTTTCTGTCTAAAATTAGACAAGCCAGTCCCCAACAGAAACCCCACGTGAACTCTGTAGAATGAGAACACCGTGACACGTGCTTTTTGCAGGCTCTGTTTGAATTAATACTGTGACTAGTGGGTTCTCATAGTTAAAGGAAATAAAAAGCCTAGTTGTTAGAGCAAGATAACATACTTTGAGTATATTTTTAATTATCTGCGTCATATGCTCCAGAGTCAGATAAAAACAGCCCCGAAAAGAATGACGTGAAGAAATTGTCCTCCAACAGAAAGTCTTCATTAATGAAAAGCTTATTTACTACTTTTGTACTTTCTGTGCTTTTAACCAATACAGGCAAAGGGTGTGTATGAAAAAGTTGGAGAAGCTACAGAGACTGCTCTCACTTGCCTAGTGGAGAAGATGAATGTATTTGATACCGAATTGAAGGGTCTTTCTAAAATAGAGCGAGCAAATGCCTGCAACTCGGTCAGTATTGTAGCTCGGTGTGTTGTCAGTGCTGCCCTTTGCTCCCCGCTCATAGACAGCTAAGATACATGTACCTTATCTCCCCCGACTTGCGGCATCTCCTTCCCCACGTTTGCTCTCAGGTCAAATGATCAGCTATCTGACCAAGAACGTAGGTATTGCTAGATATTTTCCATACACAGTCATTGTGCCCCCACGGTCTGTCTTCTCTGAGCCTCTGGCACTGTGAGTCCGCCATCCTCGCTCCAGCGGCGCCCCAAGCCCCACCCCCTCTCCTGCGTTATCACTTTTCTGCCTAGTCTCCGCGGATCTTTATCAGCATAGGACAAATAGTAGTATGGTTTTTATCTTAAAACTTTTTTTGGACTTTATTTCCCCCGTTAGCACCCAGCTTCTTTTCTCTTCTAGTAAAATTTCTCAGAGCAGCCATTTTACTGTATTCTTTTGTTTCACTTTTTCTGTTTTCTCGAATCCACTCCATTCAAGCTCTGTAAGCATTTTGGTGAGCACACCAAACCTCCCGCTGTGAAAGGGGCTTTAAGACTATCCAGTCCATCCTGGCACTTACAGGCAGGGAAACTGAGGCCTTCAGTGACTCTGCGTGATCTCACAGGGTGAGGCAGAACTGGATTCCTGCTCCCACGCCCCTTCTTTCCTTCATTTTGTCTCCTTTCTTTGCATTATTTGAGGAAGCAAAACTCATGCTAGAGTTAAGGATCCAGATCTCTGCTATAGTGTACTGATTCACACCTCACAGCCAGCAGTCTCCTAGTCATGAGGGTCTTGGGCAGGTCCTGTGGCATCCTGGCCTGACCTATGTGACTTCCATAGGACGGGAGAAGTCCAGGCCCCCTGTCTCCATTAGAGAGTTCACTCCCTGACTGGTGGTAAGGGTAGGGGGTGGTGCTGGTCCCTGGAAAGCCACATTGCCTGACAGCTCTATTATTAGTTGGTGTGACTAAGTGCAACATAAAGACTTAGCTTCACAGAAACTGAGGGTTAGAACTGTTTGATTCTAGACCTATAACTACTCAATGAAGGGAAACAAGTAGTATCCTGGAGCTTTAAAAGTGGTATGTTAACTGTTATGACCACAAATAAGGGCACAGCCATCTGTTCTCTTGTCTGCAAACTAAGCATTTTCTTGCTTCATGCCTGCCTTTGCCTCATATTTTTGGTCTGCAGCTGAGCAGGGCGGTGGGGCGGGTGTCAGAAATGACTATCCTGGGGCTCCTTAACTGAAAATTCCCACATCCAAATTCATGCCAATCCCCAGCCCCCAGAAAGGAGGAACCTGTTGTAGGTCAGAGGTAAAGTGGGCAGGATCCGGCTTTTTAATGCCTAGTGGACCATTTGGAAATAACTACCACTGTAGACCACTCTGATGCTGAAAGAAATGGCTTTGTTCACACACCCCCCCCCGCCGCCACCCCATATATCTGGTGCCTGGGTCCACACCTTAGTCAGAATCACTACATATCCCATCAGTCTTCCTTCTGAGCATTTGATACAAATGCTTGATGGAAACTAAGCATGTAAGAGATCCGTACGCGTCAGGTAATGCAGAATTCAGTGATGGTCTTTTTCTGCTTGTGGCAGCTGGCTGAGAGGGTGGCTGTCAGTCCACTCAGCGCTGCCCACACTGGGCGCTGAGGTTCTTGGGGATTTCTGTAATTCTCATTGGCTCTGTGTCTGAGTGGGGGCTGGGGGAGAATCAGGGTAATTCAAATCAAGACGGAAAACCATAAGATTATTATGTGGATGCAGAAAAGGCATCTGATAAAATTTCTGTTCATGATAAAAACTCAGCAAACTTCACCTTCAAGTTGATCGTACATTTACACAGAGCCTGTAGTAATGTCATACTCAGTAGCAACAGAAGTTCTACCTTCCATGTTTCTATTCAGTATTCTACTGGCAGCCCCCGTCTGTGCAATAAGGCAAGAAAAAGCAGAGGTATAAAAGACACAGTAGGGGCGCCTGGGTGGCTCAGTGGGTTAAAGCCTCTGCCTTCAGCTCAGGTCATGATCCTAGAGTCCTGGGATCGAGCCCCGCATCGGGCTCTCTGCTCAGCGGGGAGCCTGCTTCCTCCTCTCTCTCTGCCTGCCTCTCTGCCTGCTTGTGTTCTCTCTCTCTGTCAAATAAAATCTTTAAAAAAAAAAAAAAAAAGACACCTTATATGTTGTAGGTAATTTGATTGTACACGTGATCCAGATCCACAGCGTCTAAGTCTGCAGGGTACTTTTCAGTCCTCATTTACCCAAGCTGTCAGTCTCTCCCTCCTCGAAACATTCCTTCACTTGTTCTCTTGCGCTCCCTGCCCTCTGCCGACTCCCTTGGTTGGATCTTCCACCTCCTGCCAGCGGTAGGGAGGCCCCAGGGCCCAGTCCTCACCCTCTCCCATCTGCAGTTACTCCCATGAGGTCTCCCAGTCACCGTGCTGGTGTGTAATACATGGCCGCTGGCTCCCTGAAACTCCTCAGGTGCTTAGTGGCCACATTGGACAGCTAAATGAGCAGCTCTGCTAGAACATTCCCACCACAGCAGGAACTCCTGTGAGGCAGCAGTGCTCTGGACCACCTATTTCTGCTCACAGTCGCCATCATTTCTTGGATTATTTGTACTAAGTGGTGCTCCTTGTCCCCCTTCAGCTCATTCTGACACAACTGCCAGACCTCAGAACCCTCCCTTGTCTTCCATTTTCACTTGTTACAGATGCCTTAAGGTGATTTTTAACATCCTACAACCTGTTTCTCACCTCTTTGCCTTGCAAGATTTTCCAGCTGCTTGTCCTGGAGGCCCCTTTTGAACAGGCCGGGTCCTACCAGCCTGCGTTCCGCACTCCGGGCTCTCACGTTTTTACTCACATGTTGCCTTCTGGTTGTTTTATATAAAGTTGTGATCTGAACATACATACATATTTTCCATCCCCCCCCCCCCGCCTTAAAATTTTTTCTCCATAGAACTTTATGTTTACATTCCAGCGTGTCTTTCCCAAACTAGAGAGCAAGTTTAAGCTTCATGAGGGGGAGCACTTACTTGTTTTGTTCATTGTCATAAACCCCCAGTGCCTGTCACATAATAGGCGCTTAGTGAATATTTGTTGAACAAGTGAAAAATATACAGAAATTGCCATCCAATAATATTCCATGGGTGTCCTCCTGTAGGTCATCAAGCAGTTGATGAAAAAGGAATTTACTCTGGAGTTTTCACGTGATAGAAAGTCGATGTCAGTTTATTGTACACCAAACAAACCAAGCCGGACATCGATGAGCAAAATGTTTGTGAAGGCAAGTGTGGCAGACCGCAGTTGAGATGTTCTTACCAGGATTAGCGTCCTGGGGGAGCCCAGTAAATACAGCTGTTGACTCCAGTCTGTAACATTTCCAGGGTGCTCCCGAAGGCGTCATCGACAGGTGCACCCACATTCGAGTTGGAAGTACGAAAGTTCCTATGACCCCGGGAGTCAAACAGAAGATCATGTCTGTCATTCGGGAATGGGGTAGTGGCAGCGACACACTGCGGTGCCTGGCTCTGGCCACTCACGACAACCCACTGAGAAGAGAAGAAATGAACCTGGAGGACTCTGCCAACTTTATTAAATACGAGGTTAGCTAACGAAAAGTTTCTTCCCCCACACCCTGCACATTCATTGTGTTCAAACAGTACTCCTTCAGTAAAAGGTCAAATGAGTCTTGCTTTTGCCAAGAAAGGGGTGTGGTTATTTGTTTTTCTGCAGCCAAATGCGTCGCCGTTCAGATCTAGCCTGCTGCTTCCAACCTGTGTAGTTAACAGTTGAATTCAAGTCTGTTACTTTCAAGATAGAATAATTAAGACTTGAGCTAAATAAACTTATAAAGCCTATTTTGCAACTCCTCTGTAAATTAAGATGTTTTTAAAATTGGGAATTTTTTAAAACATTTGTGAGTTACTAAAGGCCTAAACACCAAGTTGGGAGATTCCTTCCACTTGTCTGTTCATAGAATTCTTTCTCATCAGGTATGTGACTTCCTGAAGCGCCGCCTGAAAGGAATAAGGAATAACTTGGGTACTGGGGGCCCCTAGAGTAGCCCGTATCAAAATGCTCTTATTCCTTGGTGTGTTTTTCGTGAAAGTTAAAGGATGATTTAGTTACAAGAACGTAGTACTGTTTTTCATCCTTTCCAGTTAATTGGAACTAATATTGTTCCTCATTAGATTTCTATCTCTGTGAATATTAATCTTAGGTACGAGCCACAGTTAAAGGATTTATTATAGGAAATTGCTCTTAATGTATGACTGGCCCTTGTTTTACATCAGAGGAGAAACTAGAATTTCCTGTTTGAACGTAAGATGATTCTTTTGCCATAGACCAATCTGACTTTCGTTGGCTGCGTGGGCATGCTGGACCCTCCAAGAATTGAAGTGGCCTCTTCTGTGAAGCTGTGCCGGCAAGCAGGCATCCGGGTCATCATGATCACGGGGGACAACAAGGGCACTGCAGTGGCCATCTGTCGGCGCATTGGCATCTTCGGGCAGGACGAGGATGTGACTTCAAAGGCTTTTACGGGTCGAGAGTTTGATGAGCTCAATCCTTCAGCCCAGAGAGATGCCTGTTTGAATGCTCGCTGTTTTGCTCGAGTTGAACCTTCCCACAAGTCAAAAATTGTAGAATTTCTTCAGTCTTTTGATGAGATTACAGCTATGGTGAGTACCTTTGGACTCACACTACGCAGACACAGCAGATTGTAATTTTGACATAAGTTTTTAGTAACAAGTCCCAGATTTAGAATATCTTGGATTTTTGTCACAATCAGGCTGTTTCTGTAGAGTTCTGTTGACCTGTAGTTGGCATGCTGTATGTTACCTGAGGGAAGATTCTGGAGTAGTTTAGGAAGTAGAAGTATGCCTTCTGAATCAGTTGCGGGGAAATATTTGATGACATCTAGTCTTTATCTTGGTTAAAGTGTACATATTTCTTTGTGTTTTAAGATTTTATTGATTTGAGGGGCACTTGGGTGGCTCAGCGGGTTAAACCTCTGCCTTCGGCTCGGGTCATGATCTCAGGGTCCTGGGATCGAGCCCCACATCAGGCTCTCTGCTCAGTGGGGAGTCTGCTTTCTTCTCTCTCTCTCTGCCTGCCTCTCTGCCTGCTTGTGATCTCTCTGTCAAATAAATAAATAAAAATCTTTATTTAAAAAAAAAAAAAGATTTTATTGATTTGAGAGTGAGTGAGAATGAACCAGAGGGAGAGGGAGAAGCCCACTCCCCACTGAGCAGGGAGCCCGATGCAGGACTCGATCCCAGAACCTTGGGATCATGACCCAAACAGAAGGCAGACATTTAACAACTGAGCCACCCAAGCACCTCAAAAGGATACATGTTTCTATTTCAGGTTTTCTAAAAAGTGATTCAGGGTATAACTCTTTGCTGTTCCATAACCCTACCTGAGGTTAGATGTACTGGTCAGGCATTAAGAACTGCCCATGTGCGAGGCATTTGCAGTATTCTTACCTACTGTGACTCTGCACCCAGACACATTCACCTTGTGTAATATTTGCTTTCTGTTGATTATCTGTAAAACTTGAAGAAAAGAATGTGTTACTTGAAAGCAGATATTACAGGTATACTACCTTTCCCCTTCCTTCCTCTCCTCCTCTTCTAGAGGGAACCACTGTTGTGAATTCAGTGTTGGGTGATCAGGAAAAGTTTAAAAAACACCCATGGGGATGATGGCTGTGTATCTGCAGACAGTATTCAGTCCTTCTGCATGATCGTGACCTTTGTAAACGGCATGTTACGGTTTCCCTCTTTCTGCATTCTGCAGCTGTTCTACTTGAGATTTCTCTGTGTGGATACAAGTGCTGCGTCTTAACTGCCATGTGGGCGGTTTCGGGTTTGGTTTGCTCAAAAAATAATATAATGAATTTTGAAGTCCTTTTTGTTCCACTTCCCTCTGAAGTCTCTTCAGCTCATGTGGCAATTTTACGTTTCCCAGATGAAGTGTGTTTTGTGATGCCACCTTGTAAAAATGAGAATTCTTTGTCTGTGCCCAGAGGGCCACGGCTCCTGTCATTGCCCGCGCTTCAGGGTGGCCGAGCCTTTGTCGGGCATGTGTGTGACGTGGTGGCAGGTGTGCATAAAGCAGCGGTCACATTCCCTTTCAGACTGGGGACGGCGTGAATGATGCTCCCGCCCTGAAGAAATCTGAGATCGGCATTGCCATGGGCTCTGGCACGGCAGTGGCTAAAACGGCCTCAGAGATGGTGCTGGCCGACGACAACTTTTCCACCATCGTGGCTGCGGTGGAGGAGGGGCGCGCCATCTACAACAACATGAAGCAGTTCATCCGCTATCTCATCTCCTCCAATGTGGGGGAAGTGGTCTGGTGGGTCCCCATGAGAGATCACTTGTAGTCCCTTGAGGTCGGGGCGTGGGATGACCAGTTTTCCAGATCTGTTGTTCGTAGGGCAGTAGCTTTGTGAGTCGGGGGCGGAGGGCCGGGCAGGAGGAGGAAGGTGGAGGTTCTTCCAGCCCAGGGGAGGGCTGTCCTGTGGCTGCCCTTGTGTGTAAAGGATGCCCTTGAACATAGAAATGAGTTTTACTGGGTGAAGTAACGTAAAATTTTTGGCCTTCTAACATTGTGCTTGAACTCGAAATAAGGTATAACCAATGTGCTGTGGTGGCCCAAAAGTAATTTCAAGCATCAGTGTTAACTGTCCATTGATTTTACGGAGGGGAAGAGGGCGCTCAACACTCACTGTGTCAGTCGTGGCCAAAATAATTTGGGGTCTTTCTCTTTCTTCGGGTGGAAACAGTATCTTCCTGACAGCAGCCCTTGGCTTTCCTGAGGCTTTAATTCCTGTCCAGCTGCTCTGGGTCAATCTGGTGACAGACGGCCTGCCTGCCACTGCCCTGGGGTTCAACCCACCCGACCTGGACATCATGAACAAACCACCCCGGAACCCGAAGGAACCCCTGATCAGTGGATGGCTCTTTTTCCGTTACCTGGCCATTGGCTGTGAGTATAGTTTTTATATCGTTGACTTTTAAACCACATGTTTATGAGGCATAATTTTTGTAAATTCATTCCTTAAAAGCACATTCTTTCTATCTGTATTAGGGTAACAAAAAAATGGAGTTTAATAAACTGTATACCCAGTTTACAGGAGAGTTAATCCCTTGTTTTATTTATCCCTGTCATTCCTTGGGCCTTTGTGAATGAGGTTTTCAGATTTAACCTAAGGGCAGAAGGATGCAGGGGTTTGTCAGGGTCAGGCTTTCCATCCCCAAGCTGGGAAACTCAGCCCCGCTCCCCATGAGCAGAGGAGGGAGATGTGCGCTCATCCGCAGCGCCTGGGAAACACACAGGAGCCCCGGGCACAGTCCGGTTCCTCATACTTCCTATCTGTGGCCCTCCTGCTTCTGCCTGGCTACCGGTTCTTGTCCTCAATTTAAGAGCTTAAGAAAGGCCAGAGAGTTAAAATAACTGCCCTGGGGTTCAATAGGAAGGTGGTTTTTTGTTTGTTTTTTTAGTATGTTCACATGATTTAAAATTCCAGCAGCACACTGTGGCATAAAGTGGGAAGGTTCTCAGCCAGTCAGTTCTCCTTCAATATTGAATTTCTCTTGTGCCCTCCAGAAATACTCTAGCAAACTGATCTATCCCGTGCATATATTTCTTAAGTGTTGGTGTGCTGTACACACACGTGTGCTGAAGCCTGTATTTCTCCCTGTTTGTTGGGAATTGCCATGTCAGTACGCGTGTGGCTGCCTTGTCCCTGTCCACCAGCTGTCTCCTGTTTCCTTGTAACTGCCGGGTTGGAGGGAATGTGCGCTTTTATCTTCCAGTAGATGCTGCCACACTGGGACCATCTTCATGGTGTCCCTGTGTTCACTACCCCATTGCTTTGTAATAAACTTGCTCAATTCAGAACCACTTGGTTGGGGGTGTCGGGGGGGCGGTGGGGAGGTGATCCCAGAATCTGCCTTGGGTTTTGCCACATTGCTTGCATTCTGCACTACCTGCTCTGGTGGTATTTCCACGTAACGGTTCTGCCAGGTCTTTGATGGAGCAAGTAAGTGGGTAACTGGGAGCATCAGTTTTCCTCCGAGTCCTGGGTGGTTGTGACGTGGCGCTCCAGCACAGTGAGGCACCTCGGAGGCACGTACCTGCAGCCGTAAACGTCAGCCGCCGGTTTGAGAGGGTCTTGGCTAGCGTAAGGTCCAGCCAACTCCACTAGGTCCTCTTCCTCACAAACCCTGGAAGAGTTGCTTAGTTTTTCATACCGCACACACCCCTCTCCTTGCAGAAACCCTCTGTCTGGGTGCTTTGGCTGATGGGAGTGAGCAGTTGCTAGTGGCTGCACAGGCTCTCCTGTACCATCGTCGTACCCTGTGTCCCTTCTGCTGGGCACTGGCCCACGAGGCGGGACCTGCAGTGAGAGCGGGGGCCGCACATGCCGCGTGTGTCTCTTCCCAGGTTACGTTGGCGCAGCTACCGTGGGTGCTGCCGCGTGGTGGTTCATTGCTGCCGACGGAGGGCCAAGGGTGTCCTTCTACCAGCTGGTATGTGTCTGCCTTTTCTCCTCTCCCTTAGAGGCAAAGCGTTACAAGGCTGTCCTTGAGCGTTTGTGGCTGGGTGCCTCCCAAGTAACCTTAACACTCAGATAATTAGCAGTGGCGTCTCAGATGGTCCTGAAGGACCCCAGGCTTCTCTGGGAGGTGGGGCGGGCTGTTGAGTGGGTCTGCGTCCTGGGCTTCCTGTGGAACGGGGACAGGGACCTTGGAAATGTACTTGATCGATGACAAACTGGGCATTTGTTGCAGAGCCACTTCCTACAGTGTAAAGATGACAACCCGGACTTTGAAGGAGTGGATTGTGCAATCTTTGAGTCCCCATACCCGATGACAATGGCGCTGTCTGTTCTAGTAACCATAGAGATGTGTAACGCCCTCAACAGGTCAGTGAAACCTCGACAGGCTGGGGCAAGAGCTCCACCAGCCAGTGCACCGGGGAGCCGGGAACTGGGTGTCGCGGTTGCTGGAGGATTTGCAGGAAAGCTCCTCCCTCCCAGAAAGAACAGGCAGCACCGGTTTGAAGAACTTGAGTCGTCATCACCTCCGGGAAGCAGTGGGAGTGCTTGACCACATGCTCCTTCTGAGACAGCGGGGGCCAGAAATAGGGCCTTCGGTACCCTCGCGTGCCGGTGCGCACAGAGAAGGCACTCTTGCCCTGGAGGAGTGAGACAAATGGCTTCCTCCAGTTATAAGCCAGTGACAAAAATGGAAATTTTGAAACGGTATCCGTGTCAAGGGCAATTGAGAGCAGCTTCGAGTCCATTGAAATGGAGTCCGCTGTGCCGAAACCTAGATTTAAAATTGGAAGTTTGTCCTACATCTGAACATTCTTCCTTTAATTTTGCCACAGTAGAAACGTCACTAAGTAGAATTAGGTCAGTGGGCAGTGCCGTGTTCGCCACTGCCTTATTGAAGCATGGTTCGGGACGGTCTTGGTCACTCATTGATAGGGCCTTGGCCTTTTAGGCGGGCACATTTCACGTACGTCTCGTTGTTGTGCAGCTTGTCCGAAAACCAGTCCCTGCTGAGGATGCCCCCCTGGGAGAACATCTGGCTCGTGGGCTCCATCTGCCTGTCCATGTCGCTCCACTTCCTCATCCTCTACGTGGAACCTTTGCCAGTAAGCGCTGATGGGACCAGGGCCGAGGCTGGGGCCTCGCTGCCTGTCCTGCGAGGTCTGGGAGCTTGACAGAGCTTTTTTGTGTTTCAGCTTATTTTCCAGATCACACCGCTGAATCTGACCCAGTGGCTGATGGTGCTGAAAATCTCCTTGCCTGTGATTCTGATGGACGAGACGCTCAAGTTTGTGGCCCGCAACTACCTGGAACCTGGTAAAGAGTGTGTGCAGCCTGCCACCACGTCCTGCTCGCTCTCGGCATGCACCGACGGGATTTCCTGGCCGTTTGTGCTGCTCATAATGCCCCTGGTGATCTGGGTCTATAGCACAGACACTAACTTTAGTGATATGTTCTGGTCTTGACTGACAGTTTTACATAAAGAAGATGTTTAACTTAATCAATTAATTTTTTTATTGTTTAAAGCAACTGTCTATTTCTGCTGAATTTTCACATGAACATATTGGCTGGTGAAGGAAATTTCATACTCTAGATTTTGTTTTGCTTTTCTGACTCCAGTGGGGCAAGATTTTCCTTTTTTATACACATAATTAAAGTGTCCATTGACATGTACAGAGAACTAACACTATTTTATGCAAATATTTTTTTGTAGATGAAAAAGCATGTACAGTGTTCTGTTTAATACTCATCCTTGTATGAAACAAACAGTTGAGCCAGCGGACATTGTCAGCAAGTTAATTGGCAGCAGATTTTAGGAAATGAATGTGTGTGGGTTTTGGTTTTTTTTTTTTTTTTTTTCCTAAAACTAAATAGCATGTATTGTGTCTTTTGCATGATCATCTGGATTTAATCTGAGATCACAGTCTAATTTTTATTCATAAGCCAATTTTTCTGCACTGAGCAGAGTACTGCTACCTCAGTCAGTATTTTTTGGTTTGCCACTTCCCTCACTCCCCCGGCCCCCGTTCACTCCCACCCCCGCTCCTGGCCCCGCTCGGCTGCTTCTCCCGTAGGTTCCGATGGTTCTGTTTACATCAGTCTTAACAAGAGGTATGCCTGTTCTCGCTTGTGCAGAAAACATTGTTCCAGATTCAATCGACTGGGTTCATGTCCCCCCACGTAGTTTTTAAGGTTATTTATTTAAATGTCTAATGTATTTTATTGTAACAGACATTGTTTTGCCAACATTGCCTATTTCAGTGGCACTTCACAATCTAGTTTAAAAAGGAAAATAAAACATTTTAAATGGACAGAAAAATAACTGTCTTGTTTTTAAGTGGCTTAGCTTGAACTATAACAAATTGTGTCCAATTTTCTCTTAAGTTCTTAGCTCAGAACTTGAGTTTTATCGTGCCCGAGGGGAAGGAGGACGGCGTTCTGCTGCATAGGTAGCTGTAGGAATGAACACATAGGCGCCTGTTGTCACCCATGATACTTTTTTGCAAGTTGCTGCTGGCCTGTTTTAGCCTGGTGTAGAGAACATAAGGGGGAGTGCGTGTGTATATGTGTGTGTGTGTGTGTGTGTGTTTTTGTAAAAATCTGTAAATAGCACATGACCAAATGAACATATTGTATAGAACTATTTTTATTTGAATGCGGCACTAACCAACACCATGGTTACTGTGATATGTTGCGCATGTTTGAGATCAGTCTTACCAACCGTGTGTAAGTCATTAACTGTCCTAACTATGGTGTTTTCCTCCAATGCCTTCCAACATCCATCAACTAACGTGAGTATTCCCTGGAGCCCTGATGCTTTAGCCTAAAGGTGACTGCCACGGAGTGAGCTAGCTGTGACACTTAACGTCATGTACTGCTGTGCTCTGTGACTGTCCCCGAGAGCAGCAGGAGTATGGTGCGGGCTACCTGTGCGCACACGGGGCGGGCTAGCGGACCTGAGGTGTGGCGGCGGTGGAGTCCGTGCGCGGCCTTGGGACGGCGGCTCGGCCAGATGCTGAGGAGGGCCTGGTGGGAGACAGACTCGTCAGGAGGGCGTGGCTGTGCCGGCAACCGGGCAGCCTAGTCGTGAGCCAGGGTGAAGGCGGCCTAGGCAGCAGCTCCTTCCCTGAGCCCCGGCCTGTTCTTACGAAAGTACTGGGGCAGCCCCGAGATGCGATAAAGGCTCAGTGTTTGGGGGAAAGTTAATGGACATTGAGCAAGGTGCTGCCAGCTTCCCAGGTCTGAGTATAAGGGGATGGCAGTCCCGGCCTGGCTCACTGAGGTCTCTGAGGAAGGGAGGTTGGTTTGTTTGGCAGAGAATATAGAGGGGGCAGGAGGGTGAGTTTTGCCGATTTTGGCATAAAAATTGGTTGAGTGATCAAATGGAAGGAGCGCACCTTGGCTGCAAACCAAGACAGGATAGGATGTCTGAGCTTGCTGGTGTGCTGGTCCGGGGAAGCCAGACTTACCAGACAGCTTTCCCTGATCCGGTTCCTTGATAGAGCGGCATTTGCAGAAGAAGTGGAACGTGGTTTGCTGCCGTCAGAGACACACGCAGCCCCAGATGGCCCTGGGCCGGCTCTGGCCTTGTGGTTTCTCAGCTTCAGGCCTGTCCAGCCCATGGAGGTGGTTCAGGCACCCACTTCGCTCAGCCCAGGCTGCTGGGAGCGTCCCCTTGTCAGCTCTGCTTCGGGCTCTGCTGCTGAGAAACACGCCCATGGGAGCCCCTCCTCAGCCACAGAGCTGTCGCAGGCACATTCCTGGCCTCGGGCCTCCCGCAGCGCGGGTCAGGTGCCCAGACCTAGCCTCACCCAGCCCTGGCAGGAAAGCACAGGCGGGCTCTTCTTTTGCTGCCGTCAGGACCAGTCAGGGTAACGTCGTTTTCAAACTCACCAAAACTTGTCTGTGTTCTCCTCGATAGAAAGGCCTCGCACGGCTTCTTTGATAGGGCTTGGCCGGGAAGGTGGCGACCTCACGTGCCCAGCTGGGGTCCCACTCCAGCAGCTCGTCCTTCCTCTGCACAGAGCAGGGGGCACGGGGCGCAGAGTGAGCTGCACAAGCTCCCAGACAAGCAGGGCCAGCGCCAGCCTCCCCCACAGGCGGCTGCTACCACGGCAACCCTCAGACTGGGCCTCAGCCCCCTGAATGTCCTTGCGGTGGCGGACCTCGGGGGTAGGCGACTACAGGTGTCAGCTCTAGGTCTGTACAGCACGTGCCCGCCACCGGAGCAGTGCGCAGTGCCCTGAGCTAAGGCTGCCACACTGTCTGTTGCCTTTTTAATGTAACCACCAATTTTGTCAAAAACCACCGCGCAGCTAACAGTGACGGTAATCCCCATCCTTCTTCAGAGAGGGGGTAAGGACCGCAGCTCCCCTTCTAGAACCGGGCAGGACTAGCCCCCTGGGAGGAAGGGTAGGGAACGGGAGGAGCCCAGAGGCTTCGCACTCTGCCACGCCGCTCACCTCTGCTTCACCTTCCTTACCATCTGCACTGCTAACCGAGAACCTCCCCTCCTCTTGCCCATCTCCCTTCCGTTACATCTGAAGCGGTTCCATGTCTGCCTGGTGGGGTTCTTCTGTGAGCCAGGGCGGCCTCTGCTCTGTAGCTGGACGACAGGGGTCCGTGTTGCCAAGCCAGTGCTTCTAGCTGCTACCCTACGTAGGCAGCGCCTCAGGGACAGTTAATCAGAAATGCTGGTCTTGAAATCTTAAAAGGTCAAACTGAATATTCCTTCTCACTATTCCTTGTCACTATTAATCTTAAATAGTTATTCTAACATTTCTTTCCCATATATCATAAAGCTGATTTCCTCTCTCTTTCCTTTTCAGCAATACTGGAGTAACCGCTTCCTAAACCATTTTGCAGAAATATAAGGGTGTTCGGTTGCGTGCATGTGCGTTTTTAGCAACACATCTACCAGCCCTCTGCATGATTGATGTTGGGGGAAAAAGAAAAATAGAAAAAGTCCCCAACTCATTGTGTGTTATGTGGAGGAAACGTATTACCAACGGGGTTTAGCTTTTAAATCAAAATAGTAATTACAAATGTACAATTTAGCTTAATGAATCAGAAAGCCTCTCCAGAGAACTTTGGTTTCTTTGCTGCAAGAAGAATGAGGTTCTGAAACCTTATCTGAGAACTTAGAAGCCATCAGCCAAGTCTCCATGTTTCTCTGTGCAAAATGTCATAGTTTATATAAATGTACAATACTCAGTTGTAATGCATGCCTTCAGTTGTAAGTAGCCAGATTTCTCTGCGCGTCATTCAAACCTGCTACTTTTTAATTGGCCCTGTACAGTTTGCTTATTTATAAATCTATTGAAAACACTACAGGTGTTGAAAGGTTAGAATGTAGGCCTCTAGTTCATAACTTGTTACTTTTTTGGAGTGTGCAAACAGCTCTTTTGCACTGTATTAAATGTAACTTATTTAATGAAATCAGAAACCGTAGACAGATGTTGGTGCAATGCGACTCTTGTGATGCATTTATCTTACTAAAATGCTAACCGTCAATTTATCACAAAGCATGTTTGACTTAGACTGTAAATAGAGATCAACTGTCTGTTTCTGTGCTGGTAACAAGCATTGCACAGACATGGTTTCGGGTAAATAAATCTATTCTATGATAAGTTCACAGTGTGGTGCTGACTGTTCTCCGGCGGGAGGGGGGGTGAGGGGCACTGAGGGCCTCCAGCCCCGCACCCCAAAGGGTTTTTACCTTCCGGTGGGGGAAGGTCTTAGACTTGACTTTCCGGGGAGGAGATCTGCTCGTGTGTCACAAACTCAGGTGTGGGGCAAACTGCATGTCTTGTCTCTGGGTTTCCAGAGAGAGAGGTTTTTTAAAAGTTGTCAGCAGCTTGGAGATGGTGCCAGTGGAGAGCGGCTTCTCATGCTGTTCAGATGGAAAAGGTAAAATCCCGCTCCTGCTGCAGCGGCGGACTCGTCCGCTTGAGGGTATTTCGTGCTGCTCTAGCAGGCGTGGGTTTGAGCTGGGGCGTTTCTCTATTTTCTAAATAACCTAAAATGATTCTTTTATCATTTAAAAAAAAAAAGGCAGTGAGGCAAGGATAACCCTAATAAAAAGCACAAATCCTAGCAACTACAGAGAAGGAAGAAATATTTGATAAAAATTTGATAAACTAACATCCATTCTTGATGTAAGGAAAAATTCAGTTTCCATAATTCCCATTTCATAACCTACTGAAAACGCAACGAGCAGTCCTGGCGCCAGAACCCACCCCCTTGTGCCCGCGACTCGACACTCCGACCGTCTCTGCGCTCAGGCAGCCGGTGGGACGATGCCTGCAAGAGAACAGAAAGCCCCAAGAGTCTTACTAGGTCCGCGGTAAGACCCTGTTCTTAGGTAAGTTTAATAATTCAGAGGGAATTGACATCGTGGTGATATGGAATTCATATATTAATGATAAATGAAGATACCAGCAGACATTTTAGTCAAATATGAGAAGAGCTGATGTGTGAGAGAGTGTGAGGAAGCCGGTAGTTCAGCTCAGATCGGAGCTGGGGCATTTGCTCAGTTGTTGGTCATCTTGAAAAAAACAGCTGAATCCCCCTTCTGCCCAGTCAATTGTAAATGAATCAAAAAATTTGAAAAATGAAACAAGGCCGCCAAAAGGAAAATGGCTAAATGACCCAGGCGGAAGAAAACATGAATGGCTTATAAACAAGAGATGTACAGCCCCACGGGCCAAGTCCCAGTGAGACGGCGTTGGTGCCCATCAGCTGACGAAGGGGCCCTGCGCCACCAAGGAGGCGGGGAACCGCCCTCTCCGCTACATGGCGCACAAGCACGGACCTCCCCACCCCGCCCGGCGGGCCTGCTCCTGCCCATCTTAGAGAAGCCCTCACCGGTGCTGGAGGAGTCCCGCCGGCACGTTTATCAAAGCGTCGGAACAACCGAAGGGACCAACGGCAGGGAAACAAGTACGTGGCCTCTGAGACAGGTTTAGATGACTCACCAGCGATGAAAATGAGGGAACCGGAACTGCAGAGATCAGCAGAAATCTCCGTGCACCGTGGAAACCAAGTGTGGTGTACACAAAGTTCCAAAATCTGCAAAACACCCAAAACACTTAAGTGTTACATATGTGGGTGTTCATTATGCCTGTTTGCATGTCTGGGTTTTTTTTTTTTTTTTAAGAAAACCATAGGGGCGCCTGGGTGGCTCAGTCGTTAAGCCTCTGCCTTCGGCTCAGGTCATGATCCCAGGGTCTTGGGATCGAGCTCCGCATCGGGCTCCTGCTCCCTGGGAAGCCTGCTGCTCCCTCTTCCACTCCCACTGCTTATGTTCCCTCTCTCACTGTGTCTCTCTCTGCGATAAATAAATAAAATCTTAAAAAAAAAGAAAAGAAAACCACAAAAGTACTAGGAGAGAACATGAAAGATGACCAGCTTTTCTAAACAGGACACAAAATCCCAGGAGAAAAGGGGATAAATTGATTACGTAAAAAGGTTAAAATTTGGGAGCGCCTGGGTGGCTCAGTGGGTTAAGCCTCTGCCTTGGGCTCAGATCATGATCCCAGGGTCCTGGGATCAAGCCCCGCGTCAGGCTCTCTGCTAAGCAGGGAGCCTGTTTCCCTTCCTCTCTCTCTGCCTGCCTCTCTGCCTGCTTGTGATCTCTGTCAAATAAATAAATAAAATCTTTAAAAAAAAAAAAAAAGGTTAAAATTGGGAACAATACTTCCTGAGTTAGGAAAATAGATCTGCTGTGCCTGTGACAAAGAGTGAATTCCCTTCACGTGATTGGCAGAAGTCAGAGCCTGACGGATGCTGAGCTCTGCCTCGCGGCTGGCGTCAGGAAACCGTATTCATGCTGAGGGGCAGCACAGCAACTGGCCCAGCCTTTGGAGAGCAACTTGACGCATCGTGGAGATTTTTAAACATCCACGCCCCTTGGTCAAGCACTTCACTTGAGTGAAATCCTCCCACATGTTCACAAAAGCAACAACATCCTGCTGTAGGATTATGTAGTAAAAAATCGGAAATAGTCCAGATGCCCATCAAGGGGCGAGGCAAGGTGTTGAATAAACTAAGAACATTGACGCCAGGGAACAATGCGCAGCCTTCAAAACACAAGGTAGATCTGTGAGAACCAGCAAGGAATGACAGCCAACCGGTGATGTCTGCCAATGAAATAATTCAAGTGCAGAACAGCTTACATACTATTCTATCGTTCATTTTTGAAAGATTTTTTTTTTTTTTATTTGACAGAGATCACAGGTATGCAGAGAGGCAGGCAGTGGGGTGGGGGGGGGGAAGCAGGCTCCCCGCTGAGCAGAGAGCCCGATGCGGGGCTCGATCCCAGGACCCTGAGAGCATGACCTGAGCGGAAGGCAGAGGCTTAACCCACTCAGCCACCCAGGCGCCCCACTATCGTTCATTTTTTAAAAACAGGAGGAAGTTAACAGTTTCCAGGAATGATGGTTACTGAGAGGAACTGATAATACTGTGATACAGATGGCGGATGTTGGAAGCCAGTGTTCTCACTGTGGGAGTGGAGTGGGAGGTTAGATAAGGGAAGAAGGCTAGAATGATTCACATGGTAATTACAGTTGGAGATACCAGCATAAATTAATATTTAATGTTGCTACAGATGATTTTATGTAGACCTATTTCTTAGGGCGCCTGGGTGGCTCAGTTAGTTAAGCGTTGGCCTTCCGCTCAGGTCATGATCTCAGGGTTCTGGGATCAAGACCTACATTGGGCTCCTTGCTCAGCGCAGTGTAGGGGGAGGGGACATGCTTCTACCTCTCCCTCTGCCACTCCCCCTGCTTGTGCTCTCTCACTGTCTGTCAAATACATAAAATCTTTTTTTAAAAATGAAATACTTCTAGTTAGGTGTATGTGTCCATGCACTTTCTTGCGCCATCAACTGAGAGGGCCAAGCAACGAGGCCACTGCAATAGAAATGAGCACATACTTTAGTTCCAGGTTTCTCATGCCGTTCTCCAGCGAAAGGAATCAAATCTCCTTAGAGACACGGCAGATTCTAGGGCCAAGCCAGGAAATGTGCAACACGTGCCTGGAGAACACTGCCGTGTCCGGAAGCGCAGCAGTACTAAAACGAACAAAAAGCAATGATCAAAGATGGGGTATACCGGAGGGACAGAGGAGCCAACTGAGAAGTGAGAAGGCTTTGGATAGCCAAAACTAGAACAATCTCAGCAACAAAATCATGGCGGACTGGATTATAATCCAAAGTGTGGAAAAAATATCCATGAGTCTATCCTGACATAAACAGGAGAAACTAGAAATCTCCCATGCAGAAAAAATCCAGGTAATTTCTGGAGGTAACTCGGCCCCCAGGGAGCATGAGCGGCGCCCAGTGGCCTCCCCGGGAGCGCGTCAGTGTGGCTGGGAAGTTGCCCACCGCGGAGACCCCCGCAGACACTACCTCAGCCCAGTGAGCTCATCTTGAGAGCATGTGCCCTTGACAGGAAGTGATGAGAGCGGCATTTTACCTGTGGTCTTCCTCCCCAAAAACGTCATCTCAGTCTAATCAAAGAGAAAACATCTGACGAATCCCGAAGACAAACCTGCCAAATACCCGGCCGGGACTCCTTAAAGCCGCCGAGGTCATCAAGAACAAGGAAAATCTGAGAAACTCTCCAGCCAAGAGGAGCCTCAGGACACATGAGAACGGAATGTAAAATGGGATCCTGGGTGGGATCCTGGGAGAGAGAGAGGCAAAAACTAAAGCCTGAACGAACTATGAACTGGGGCCAATAATAACATATAAATACCAGTTTATAATAATACATAAGCACCGTGACGAATGTACCAGATCATTGTGAAATGCTGAAGTTAGGGGAAGCTGGGCCCAGGGTATATAGGACCCTTCCACGCCATGTGCTTATTTTTCCGTATGTCTATAAATATTCTAAAATTAAAAGTTTATTTTAAAATGCTGGGATAAATATATATTTTTCAATCTGTATAGAAGTATCAAAGAAATACAAGATAGTACAGAATTTCCAGGCCAAAATCTAAGCAGCAGCAAGGAGAGATCATCAGAATCTCCAAGGTCACTTTTCCCCTCTCCAAATACACTCAGCTGCGAAAACAGGAGAGTGGGGGTTTGGGGAGTTCACAGGCTGAAAAAGCAAAGTCAAATCCAGGGCCCACCAAAAGTGAGAAGTCTCATAGGACATTCAGCTGTGACCCCAAAGGACTAACAGCTCAGGATAAAGGCAAACTAGAAACAAAGCTGCCCTCCTTCCCCAAAACTCGAAGGTCTGTAAGGCTATAGGCCATGGTGCAGAGCAGAACCAGGAAAATACACCCACCCGGAGGGAGTGTAAACACCGGCTCTCCAGGCTGCGCAGCCCAAACTGTAGCCTAGGGGTGGCCTCTGAAGCCTCAAGGCATGAATTTAAAGTCACAGGCAGTACGCCTAAGGCCCAGGCAGAAATAAATGTCAATCCTCCCTAGAGGAAAGCACCTTCATTTTATGTCTTAGGAGATCTACACAACTATTTTGCAAAGCAGCCTACAGTAAAAGCGAACTAAGTATGCAAGAAAACAAGGCACTATGAGTGAAAGGCAGCAGTAATAAACATGACAGGTCTATCTAAACTTCACATATTAGAAGCATTAGATAGGGGCGCCTGGG